TTTTTTTTTTTTTTTTGGTGCCAGGATCGAACTCAGGACCTTGTGCTTGTGAGGCAGGCGGCAGCACCACTGAGCTAAATCTCTGTCTAACTACTTCCCTGTTTTTGAGACTGAGGAGATCCTTGACTCCTTCGATCTACCTCTTGTCTTCAGTTTCACACTCATCTGCTCTCGCTGGGACCCTGCTGTTTGTAGTAGTTCCCACTTTTTTCAGTGACCCATCCTTTGGTTACCTGGAGATGACTGGTCACTGGTCAGCACGAGGGTGGCAGGCGTGGGGCGGCGTCTCCGAATCTGGGGTGGGGTTGGAGAGGCAGAGGAAGTAAAAAACATGTAAAAGTAGCTGTCAAAGTCTCATCCAATGCTCCTTGGTTACACAAGGCAGGCCAGTCCACTTAGTTGTAGCCTTTAACATGGAGACTTTTTCTTTTCAGTCCTGGGAATCAAACTCAGGACCTTGCACTTGCCAGGCAGGCACAGTGCCACCGAGCTACATCCCCACCCCCCACCTAACACACCTCAAAAAAAATGCCATGTTACACTGGACCTGCTATCCTAGGGTGGGTGTCCTTGGGCTCATCTGCTCCTTTGGGGAGTGCTACTCCTGCCGACTCAGAAGACCACCTCCTCTCCCTGCAAGTCCCCCTCCTCTTCCCACCCGCCCCCATTCCTGCCCCAGCTCTTCATCTCAGCGGCTTTATCTGCTCTAATGCATTGATTTCTGGACTGCTGTCCTTCCGTCCATCCTGGATCAATGGTCAGAAATATCCTGAGAGGGTACAGGGCTTTCCCTTGGCCTCCCAGGCCCCCCCGCCATAGACATTAACCCTTTGTGGGTCAGCACCTGCAGAGAACATCTCTCCAGCCCACCCAGCCCAGGGAAGGAAGGTCTGAATGTGCCTACTGCTTCCTAAAGTCCTCCTGATCTTTGGACACACTGGCTTTCTAATTTGTCTGGGAAATCCTTGTCATGGCAAATATAATGCAAGGAAGAGCCTTAGGTAGGACGCTGGCCAGGGCCTAAAGGTTAGCTGAAAAATTTTTATCCTGGACTCCTGGTCCCATTCTAAGAGATTAACATGTACAGCTGAGGCACTGCAGGGGCTTTGACCCCCCCCCCCTTCTTTTGTTGTGCTGCTGATAAAGTTGACCTGTTGTTGAAGTCAGTCCAAGGACTTCTGGGATGAGTGGTTCTTTTCTTTCTTGGGAAACCTTGGGGTGGAAGAGCATAGAACAGTGGGGGTTGGAGCTCCTGCAGCTCCCTCCAGGGCAGGAAAGGGGCTCAAGTTATGCAGGGCTGAGAGGAGTGGGGTGGGGATGCTGAATGATCACATCTCTATCTCTGCATATGCATTGTTCAGTGTCATCCCTGCTGGCAGGGGAGGCTGGGAAATGGAGAACCACTGCCCTTCTCTATGCCTAGAAAGTGGATACCAGCTATACTAAGAGGGGCTGTTTAAGCCAGAGAGGGATGCTCTTCCCAAAGAAAAAATAGCATAGCAAAAACAGAACGGGGGTATTTGAGGGTAGGGCATTGTTCCAGGAGAATCCAATGACATCTATTTTGAGTGACATTTCAAGGTTCCCAGCAGTGCCCACCCTGTGTGTGTGTACGCAGGCACACACTGCACAGATATTAACTGTGAGTTGTCTGGCTATTTATTCCTGGTGCACATGGGTGGAGGACAGGCAGTGTGGCACTCACACTTCATGCATGTGGGTGTGGTGGCATCTCTTTAGGAGGAGAGGACTCCTCCTCAGTCTCTTCTGCCCCTGGTGGGGAGTACTGGCCCTACAACAGTGGAAGAGAGGGTTAGGTAGAGTGGGGATTAGGGGGTGGAATAACATCTGAACTGGGATCCCAAGGAAACTCTGAGCGTAACAAAAATGAACTCTGAGAGGGCAGCAGGGCTCTAATCTTGCACAGGTCTCTTACTTAATCTGGTTCCTTGCCTTAGACAAGGTTTGGAAGCAATCAGAACCCTCAAGAACTGTGATATCCCACAGCAGGAGGGAGGGAAGTCAGACTTGCTGACGCACCTGAACTGGTAGTAGAGAATCTCTTCCTTTTTTGCATCTATCCCAAATTCTAGCTCTCAAGGACACATGGTGCCTTCACTTCTGATTTATCTCTAAATCAGCAATGCCAAGGAACTGGTGGTGGTAGGCATCCCTCTACCCCTGCCACTCTGTGCTCCATAATGCAGGGCTTCAAGTCCTTTCACCCTCCCCTGTGGGTCTGGGTTAGGAGCTCCTGCCAAGCCTGGAGCTTTTTGCCTACATACTTGGTAACACAGCAGGAAGGGCTGAGGCTAGATTACAGGTAGAATTTCAGGCAGAGAAGACACAGATTTCTGAAGATTAGAGAAAAGCAGGTCTAAGTCCCAGCTGTTCTTTGCTCTTGGCTCCTTATTCCCCCAATTCCCTGTTCCTAAAGCATCCGGCCTACACCGTCCTCCTCCCAACACCCAACACACACCTACTACACCTGCCTCCTACAACACCAAACAGAAGCAGGTGTCAGGCCCTACCTGTGCCAGCGGGTGGCAGTTCTCCTTGGATCCCCCAGCTCCCATAGCCCATACACTTGGGCCCTTTTGCTGGAGTCAGAAGTTATCTTAGCCTGTCCCTGTCTCTGGGCATAGAAGCCCTCCCTCTAACCTCCAGGAACACTCCCCATGATAGGAGCTCTGTGAGGGACCACAGTCCCTCCTGTAGTCATACCATAGAGGTCCGGAGGTGGTGCTCACCCCAGGCCAGGGGCGACCTCTGCCTTGGGAAGCTAAAGTTACAGAGAGAGCACCTGCCCTTTCCCTTCACATCCAGACCTTATTTGCCAAACAGCTGGAGCAACAACAAAATCTCCTGGCTGTCCCAAGAGGTTACCAGGTTCTCCAATTGTGGAAGCCCAGCCAGAGCCCCAGGGCTGGTGTGTGTGTGTGTGTGTGTGTGTGTGTGTGTGTGTGTGTACCCAGCACTGACCTTGTGGAAACTGGGTGCTGGGTAGGAATGGAAGGTCTAGGAGAATAGACAGAGAATACAACAAGAGATGGAGCAATGGGCAAATATGCAAATGTTTGTCAAACAGGCAGTCGGTAGTAACCCTCTCCACAACGCTCACTCTCACTGAGACACACACTGCTCACACACTCTCACACACGGCTGCCTCTGCCAGGCTTCTTGGAGCTAAAAATAGGCCAGGCCAGGAGGCTGGGCCAGGGCCCTGGACTCCCACTCTCGATCCAAGGCCCTCACAGTACCTTGCAGATCCTCAGCTTGGACTCCAGTCCCTGGACAGCACCCACCTCTGCGCCAGCCGCCCCCCCTCCCCCCCCCGTGTCATTCCCTCGATCCCATGCCTATGCTCCAGTCCAGAGGGCAGGAGTTGGGAATCGGGATCCACGTGCTCAGACTTGCAGAGGAACGGAGCCCCGGGGCTGCAGACCCCACCACCCCTCTTCCCCACGCCCCAGGGCTCTCGGTTGGCCGCAGCCTCTTCTGGTCACCACTCCTTGGAGCCGGGCAAGGTGCGCCCCCAGGTGGGAGGGGACAGGGAGAGCTGATTCTCTTCTTCCAACTCCCACAGTGCCAGGCTCCCCCCATCACCGACCCCCGCCCTGCCCTCCCTTCAGCGCCTCCACCGGCTCAGAACTCGGCGGGGGCTGACAGGGTGGAGCAGGCGAGCTTGCTGACGAGGGGGAGGGGTCGTGTCCTCAGATAGGCCCCCTCTTCCGGAGCTGGGGAGCAGAGAGCGACCCTCTCGGGGACAGATATCGCATGGACGCACTCGTCCTTTGGTCAGTCTCAAAGAAGCAGATGGGGAGATGAGCTTCGACGGTGGGGGGAGGGGACAGGAGCCCCCCAAACTGAGCACGATCGTCCTCGAAAGGGCGCCTCGCCAAGGAAGGACGAGGCGGGGATCCCAGGTTCCACCAGCCCAGGCAGGGGTCACTCGTCTGGGCTGGGCGAGTCCCCTGCCGCCCCGCCCTGTTCCGCACCTGCTCGGCGGCCTCGGGGTCAAGGTGCGGCTCCAGCAGCGGCACGGTGAACTGAATCTTGCGGGGGCTGTTGTCCGGCTCCATGGCTGGGGCGCCGCGGCGGCGGAGTAAAGGCGCGGGACTCGGGGCTGGGGCGGGCGCGCTCCCTCTCCCTCCGCTCCGGCCCCGGCCCCAGCCCGGCGCGCTCGGCTCGCGGCTCCCGGCTCGGCGCTCCAGGCTCGCGGCTCCCGGGGCTCTGCGGCCGCCGATTGGCTCCGCGCCGCCCCTCCCGGCCCCCTCCCCTCCCCCTGCCCGGAACCTTAACCCCGTCGTGGCTGCGCCGGGGCTGCGGGGGTCACCGCCCCTCGGGCGAGCCAGCCGGAGCGTGGCCGGGTCACTGTGCTAGCCGACAGCCCGGGCGGATATCCAGGTATCCTCAGAGTTCTGGGCACGGAGTGTGAGGTGCGCTTACCAAGAACTTCTCCAAGCGGAGCGAGGCAGGGACTAGGGGCTGGCTGGGAGGGCGGAGGGTCGCTGCGGAAGAGGAGGCAGCAGGCGCGAGAGGAAGATTTCGCGTAGGACCTAACGGGGGTGGCCACACAGGGGACGGATGGAAAGGGAATTTAGGCGTGCAGCAGGAGAGATTACGGTCAGACTCGGAGAAGGACTTTCCCCTGAAAGGAAAACATTGGAGCGGAGGAGAAAGTAGGAGAGGAGGTGCGGGGCCTTGACACCCTTCCAGGCAGGGGGAGGGAGCTGAGGCCTCAGGGTCTCCGGAACGAAGTCCCTCTTCAAGTACCAGGGAGTGGGTGGAGGACTTGGGGAGAAGGGACCATCTGGGGCTCGGCAGAAGGAGTAATGGGGGTGGGGAGACAGTAAGGCTTGCGAAATAGATTTCACTTTCAGCCTGCTGAATTCATGGGGATTGTAAAGTAGGAGAAAGGCTTACAGGGGGAGAACACTGTGGGAGGGGGGAGACGGAGAGGGAAGCTCCTTTGGTGGGGTGGCTTGTTTACACTTGGGGGTGGTTTCCAGTTTCGCTGTTGGCAGAAAAAGGAAAATGATCTGCTGTAACTGAAGGCGTGGAAGTTAGACTATGTGAAGAACTTACTGGCTTGGGGTAGGACCAAGATATCAATCACCACGAGACAGTGAGGGAGATAGGATGTTTCTAGGAGCCGGTGTGCCCTGTGCTGGGGGCTGGGGATCAATGGGCAGAGGGGAGGGAGGGGCTGGGGCATGGGGAGGAGCAGGGCTGGTTACTGCTTTGGGGAAGGCGATGAGAGGGAGCGACAGGCAGTGCTGGAAGAGGGCCAGGGGCCGGGCCTAGAGGTCTGCTTCTTTTTAACTGTAGACCAAGCAACTGGCAAGTTCCTTACGGATCGACGCCTGGTTCTCTGGGGCTGTCACTGTCACGATCACCCTCTCCTCCAAAGGGCCGGCTTCAACTCCCAGTCGCCCACTGTTCTGGTCTGAACTTCACTGGCCCCTTCCCCTCTTACCTCCCCGGAGAACCTCTGAGCCCCCTGCCCTTGCCCTATCTCTTTACACACAGCAGGCTCGGTTTTCTCAGGCAGGACTTCGGGTTAGAGCGACCCGGTGGACCCTGCAGCCTGGTCTGGCCCGTGGGCTGTCCACTTGCATTTTAATTGGCCATGCTTTGTGGTTACTTGGGCTCCAGGAAGGCTTCCCCACACCCAGCCCACTCTTGCAGGGGCCCCATTAGCTCTGTTTGGGCAGCAGGGATGGCCCCCAAACAGCTGTTTCCCAGTCCCCTTTAGCCCTGCACAGACAGTGGAAGGAGAGGGTGTAAAGGCACCGGGGTTGGCGGTGGGGGAAAGGCAGGCCCCTTAGAGCCCAGGTGCTTGCTCTATTCTCCTCATCGGTTTCCCACAGGAACACGGAGCAGGATCAAAATACCCTCTCAACCAGTCTTTTCCCTGTCCTGTTCTAACCGGACTGCGATTTGACTATGGGACTAAAGGATTCCCACACCCCTATCTCTGGGGCCTCAGGGTCCTTTCCCTGGACCTCAGTCCCATTTGCAAAATAGGCAGAGTGGTCCCTGCCTCCTGGGGTCGAGTGTCCTCTGAGGTAAGGGTAGCTGGCACTTGATAGCTGTTACTACTGCCTTGCCTCCTGGCAGGACTGCGGGACCAGAGGAGTCCCCTCTAGGTTCTCCTAAGAAGGCTCCCTTAGCCCTAGTGGCTCGCCCAGCTTGCCTAGGTCTCTTTCATGTTCCATTCTTTCCCTCAAACTTTGTTTTGGCCGTGGAAATCCCTCCCACAGGCTCACACCCACCCTTCATGTTACCTCCTCAAGTCCCGGATTCTCAGACCCTCTTGTCCTGAAAACTACCCATTAGGACAAGGGCCAAGAGAACTCGGGCTTGGACAGGTGGTAATTGAAAGGCTTTCTGGGAAGAGGGGTCCTGGGAGCAGCCCGTGCTGGGTGGAGGCAGAGCAGGAGAGAACAAGTACAGGCAAAAACGACAGAGAAGAGAGGGGTCTGGGTGAAGCAGTTGGGCAGCGGGGAAGTGGTGCGTGGCAGACTGTAGTCTTCGTTTTGGGTAGGCCGGGTAGGTCTGTCTGTGAAGGTGTGTGTATGTCACTGTGACCTTTATTTATGCCCAGAGCCGAGTGAGTAACTGTGAGCGCCTGCTGGGCATGTGGGTGTAAGCAGGCGTGGGGTGCTCACACACAGGGCTGGGAGGTGCAGGGCATCTGCCGTATGCTCTTGGAACCCAGCTCGCATTTTCTCCATGAGGTGTGCTCAGCCCCAGCCTGGGCTGCACAGCAGCAGCTGTTCTGTGCATGTGTCTGGGTCCATGAATATTTAAGGACACAGGGATGTGACTTGGTGATGCAATCACGTATCAGCTCCCACTCTGCCCTGCTCTCTGTGCTGGACTCTGAGTTAGTAGGATTGCTCTTAGTTGATTGGACATTTTCTGCTCTTACTTTCCATCCTCCTCAACCCCCTTAGCTTCCTTGTGCTTTCATTCATTCACTAACCTTTTTAACCCAGGGGGCTGGGTGGGTATTAGTATATTTACTGGCCTTTTCAAGGGCAGATGGAGAGAGGCGTTGCTGAGATGAGCCACCTGGGCTGGGATTTGGGAGGTCAGGTTCAATACCTCCCCCTGCTACCAACTCCCTGTGTGACTGTGGGATCACCCCCATCCCACGTCCCACACTGGGCTCAGTTTCCTCATCTCCCAGAGGACAAGGTAATCTGCAGGCTTCTTCCTGCTCTAATATGCTACTTTGAGTTAAGGGTGTCCCAGTCACATAGCCAGGAAATCTCCGAATCAGGGTTAGAACCCAGGAGGAAGGACCTTACTTCTATCTCTACATCTCTCCTGGCCTGGGCCGTATAGCAGAGGCAAGCTCCTGCACGGTGAGTACTTTCACACACTCAGTTCTGACAAGGTAAGGCTAGAAGCTGCTTTTAAACTCAAAGGAGCAATGACCCCTTCCAAACAGTCCCCCAGGAAGCCATATGCTCATTCCAATGTGCTGCTGTTTCCCCAGCATTTCTGGAAACTCTTTTGGAATCATCTCAAAACTTGTGGCATATGCTCTGAAAAATCCTCAGAGAGAGTAAATCTTTGCATTTTGCTTCTTGAAAATGGCAGTCTTTAGGTGCCAAGCCTTGGGAAGAAGGAGGGAGGTCAGGAGGGAGGCAGGCCCTGACCTGAAAGAAGGTTAGGTTCCCTGCAGTGGGACTGTGTGTTCCAGAGGGCTCCCAAGCCCGTTTGGAAGGCTTTTCTGCTAGAGAAATTGCAGAACTATTTGTGAGCCCAGAAGCACCATCAAGATAGATGTGCGGGCTCTTGGGGTAACTTGGGAGACCAGTGGGTAAGGCCTGTTTGCCTGTTAAAAAGCTCAATTCTGCCCAGCTCAGGTACAATCCCATGCTGCTGGTTCTCTTTGGAATGGGGCCAAAGCTGCTGATTCAAAGCGATTCCAAAGTGCTTTGCCTCTTCTTCACCCATCTCAAAAGCACTGGTTGAGGTAGAAGAAACTTAAGAGATCAGCCAGCTCTCTCGAGGATGAGCCATGCCATTTCTTTCCCCAGAATGCCAGATTTGGTAGCTATGGCAGGGCAATGGCTGGGCCGGAAGCAGCACATGGATCAGATGACCTTTTGGAATACATTTGAACCCTCTGGTCATCAACAACCTAAAAGCTCCAATCCCTAGCTTGCCTCTAGCCAGCCTCTTCTGTTCCCAACCCTCTAACACCTTGAATTTATTCTTTCAACAAATATTGGGTACTCACATACACCAGGGTTTATGCTAAGTGCTAGGGATACAGTGGGACACATAACAGATACAGTTACAGCTTTCAGCCTAGCAGGAGCCAGGGGAGTGATGGGGTGGCCAAGTAATCATCAGCCTGGAGTATTATGAAAGCGGAAGTGTAAGATGCTATGGGATAAGGGGTAGCAGGAAGGAGGAAGGAGATCAGTGGGACCTGTAGCTGCTCAGACCTACTGCTCCCCCTCCGTATCAGCTCCTCTCTGCAGGGTCTCTGTCTTCTAGCTCTGTGACTCTGGACACAGTTTTGAACCTCTCTGAGCCTCAATTTCCTCTGCCTTAAAACTGGCTTAATAATAGGGACCATCCATGTTATACAAAGTGAGGAGTGAGATGAGTTAGTGCTTCCAAAGTACTGAGCACCTGTTAAGCACTTGAAAATGTTGCTTGCTTTGGCTCTTGAAAAAGCAGGGATGAAGCAAGGGATTTCAATGCTTTCAGAATCTGGGAGGAAGGTGTCTTCAGGGGGCCACCCCTGCCTCGGTCAGTGGGCCCCTGCTTCTGTCCACCCTGCTGGGATCAGCATTCTTGATGTTCAGCTGTGTCCTTGTCAGCATGGGCCATCACCCTTTCCTGCTAGTTAACACCCTCCCTGTTAATGATTAAATCTAATGACTTTGACTTGAGGGTGGGAGGATGGAAAATTCCCCAGCCACAGGACAGAGTAAGGGTAAGTTGTCAGGGTTCTGGGCATGTTGTTGTAGGTGGCCTGGGAGCAGATGCCAGGTTTTCTCCTGGGGCTGCTCGGCAGGGGAGTGTGGCTGGAGGAGGGGTCATTTGAAAGTAATAGCTCCACAGTCCTCCTGGGCTTGGCAGGTTCGAAGAGGGAACTGGGCCCCAGACCCGGCCAGGGCCTGCATTCTGCTCTGCAGTGGTTGGCCATTGGCTGCTGTGGTTGGATGGACAGGGCAGATTGGGGT